GGAGATCCATTTTGTTTATTTAATGTAATAATCTGAAGTATGTAATCATCAAATAATTTCTAATGAATTTAATAATAGTAAATATTATATTCATTGAAATTTTTTAGCTGATATTTGCCTAATAAATTATTTTACTTGTAATTTTTTTTCACACAAATATGCTAATTGTAAAGATAAATTTTGTTTGAGTAGTAATCATTACAGAGAAGAAGAATTTTCCCTTTTTAGAAATTCTCATAGGAAAATATTCATCTAATTTCGACATCTTCAAATAAGACTATATTGTACTTTGAAGGTATTTTGTAGAATGCTGAAATTTTGTGCAATTATCCATTATGCATGACTGATAGATATATTATTAAATAGCTGATTGCTTTTAACGATAATAAAATTTTTATAGAATTATGAAATTTGAATTGCAAATTCAACTTAAAATTTTTTCATTTTTGTCCTTTATTTACAAGAAATGAAGATTAATATTTGAGATTATATGCATGCAAAATGGATAATAATAGAATGTTTTTATTTAAACATTAAAAAAATAACTTTATATGCTATCTTAATTACATTTAATAGAAAAATATCAACAATGATCATCGTTTTATGTAATTGCTACGTATAACTTTATTGATTGCAATGGAAAAATTAATGAAAAATTTTCTAAAATTGAGAAGACGAGGAAATGTTTATATATATATGTGATAGAGAAAAATTATAAATGAAAATGAGAATTCATCTATTCTGAAAACAAAGCGAAATATGCCTAATTTATTCATTTATATTTGCTCGAGAAGAAAGAGGAAAGTGATGAAGGAAATTTTTTGCCTTTTAAGCAAGCTCGACAACTTCTTCTTAAATAACTTTATGCTTAGCTTCAATTTAGCAGTTCTTGCATAATTTAACAAATTGAACTTCTATTTTCCTTTGTTTCTATTCATTTTATTCATTTCTATTCTATTCAAAATTAGTAGAATTTTGATTTGGAAGAAAAAAAATGAATTCTGTTTATTCTTTAAAAAAAAAAAAGCAACAAAAACAAAAACAAACTAAGCCAATGCTTATATCCAAAGTTAATGGTATGTTGCTATGGGTTAAGTCATAGTAACTGTTAATATTTGCTAGCATACTAAATAAACAAACAAATAATACAGTAAGTATCTTTAATGCCTCTTATCAAAATGATGCTTTAAATGGAAGCCTTACAAGCTTACAGTGAAAATGTACAAAAATAACATTACAACAAAAAGTAGCCATTTCAGTGTAAATGTCCCAATATAATTTCATCGTTGACTTTTTCAAATGCAATAAAAATATGGAAGAGAAAGAGAGTACTTAAATTGGAGCCTTGAAAGGAGACATAAGAATGAATTTCAATCATTTAAAATATTCTTGATGAAAAATTTAGGAATAACTGAAGTACTGCACTAAGCAATTCTTTTATTCATCTTCAAAATTGACATCAATATTACTTGCTTTTTGTAAACTTCGTTTTCTTTTTTCTTTTTCTTTTTTTTTTTTGCAAAATAACTATCGAATATTACATTTAGGAATAAATCGTTAGTTAGCAAGAATAGGAAAAATAAATCTTATTTTATGGCTTTTCAGTAGCAGTAATATATCATTTTACGGCGTTAGCAGGTACTGAAAGATGAATGTAATATAAAAAAAAAAACAAAAAAGGAAATTGTTTCCAACTGGAAGAAATTATAATTAAGTTTTGCATGCAACATTTTTTTTTCCTCCTCCAATTATTATTTGATATGAATAATATATCACAAAGCAAATATAAATATATCATATGAAAAATTTGTGAAAATAATTTGAAAAATTGGGATAAAATGTAATGATGATGATGATGATGATGATGATGATGATATATAGCGGTCGTTGCAATAATGATTGGAAAATTTTGATGGAATTAATAGTAATAATGTTTAATTTTAAATTTTCCAATAGTTGAATATAACACTTGAAATGACGTATATATTGCATTGGAAAAAAAAGAAAACAGAAGGAAAAAAATGATGATTTTTAGATTAAAACGAAAAATTTTACGTTAAGAAAGAGTTGAATATAAGAAGATATGATTTAAAGTTTACGGATTTTTTTTTTTTTTGTCAAAATATGCAAACTATTGAGTAGTCAAATTTTTGAAATGTTTTTTTAATTATTAGGCATGCTTAATGAAAATGTAAAAAAAAAAAACGGAAAGACATTTTCCATTTATCAACTATACTGTGATCTATGATCAGTTTTTGATAGAAATAGAATTTTAATTCGTTTGGGAGGAATAATTTGGAAAGAGACGAATTAGCAGAAAATGTTAATAACAGAAATGAAGAAGCATTGATAAAATTGAATTCGTATTTTTTCTGAAAATTTTTTGAATTTTTTTTATTGGATTTTACATTAACTTCCAGCAATGTGTCATAACTATAAAGTAGTAGTGAAAAAAAAAAAATGTATGTTACAAATGCTTAGAACTAAATCTTGTTCTAAAAATATTGATTAAAATGAATGAATAATGAGTTTAATACAAACCAGTTAAATTTTGTATGCACTTCCTGTAATGTGCTAATAGGCCTAAAAATTGCAATGTCAATTAGACCCATTTGATAGGAAGATCATGCATTTTTCCTTACAGATTATTTTAATTTTGATTAAAATTATTCCTACTCTAATTTTCTTCATCACTTTGATTTAAACTAATATCAGTTTAAAATTAAATGAAACAAGTTTTCCTATCATTCAATTGTCATTTAACATTTTTATCCCTTATTTTGTCTGCAACAGTAAATGTAATTAAAACGAAATTGAAAGTTATCGGATAGAAAGCGGTGCAAAAAAAAAATAGCATTCATTTTAAATCGGATCATTTGAAATTGCCGATATGTTCAGAAATGGTAAAATAACTATTTTCCTTAAATTTCACTTCCATTTCATTAAATTAACACAAACTTCACAACTTTTTTCTTTCCATTTCCTTCAATAATTATACTTTCTTCTGCTTTCACTTTAAAATTTGAGAAGCAAATTTTTTGATAATATTGCACATATTTTAACGCAATCTTCAACAAACTCCCTCTTTTGCATTTCATCAAAAAATGAAATGGCTTAGTTTTGTGCAATTAAATGATGTTCATGAAAGATATAATTTATTTCGATGTGTTCCATCAATTGTCGAAATAAATTATTCTATTTTAATTTATCTTGCATTGGAAAGAAGAGAAAAAGATTCGTCTAATTTTGTGCTGATAGCTTTCACCTACAAACTGACAATACTTTTTTTTCCATTAATTTTAGCAATTTTTTTTTTTCCCCTCTGAACATATGAAATTAAAAGAAGTTGAGGAGGAGAAGTTGTAGAAATGAAATTTATAACTGCTAGGAATGCTACTACTTATTCCGCACAGATATTAGGGAAGTCTAAAAATTTCATGCAAGAAATTCAAAAATTTAAACTTACTTTTTCATTTCTATTCGATTTCCTTCCTATAGATATTGCAATAAATCAAAATGGATACTTTTAGAAATTGAAATTCGTTTTTTAACTTCTTTGCAAATAAATTTGTGTTGCATGATCTTCTCTTTGTTTTTGATTCTTTACATGATTAAAATTTCAGTAAAATTAAAAAACTAATTTTTAACTTCAACTTCAACGAAGTTAAATTAAAATTGACAAATAAATGATTAATCGATTGAATTGTAAATCTTTTCGAAAATTTCATTCAAAAAAATCAATTTTCACATGGTATTGACAATCGTTATTTAAATCCAATCTCTGCCATTTTTCAATTTCATCTAAATTCCATGTTTTTTCAAGGCTCAAAATATAACATTGATTAATAAACTATCTTTAGATATATGGCATTTTTTATAAAAAACGAATATTTTATTATTCTGATGCTTTTACTCCGATCGTTCTTTCAGCTAAGCATTTTTGCCAAATTTAATTCTCCTACGTAAATGTCTCATCGACATTTGAATTTTTGCTAGGACGCGATATGATTACTTAATAAAATAAAATTTCGTTGATAATTTATTTAACTGTTTATTATTTCATTCACTTATTGGTTATGCGCTACTGAAATTGTAAAATGTAATGATTAAAAATGTAATTTCTCACAAAAAAGTTTTTTTTTCTCTCCCTAAATTTCCTAACAAAGGTAGCTTTTTCGAAAAATTAATTGCTTTATTACGTTTTAATAGTGTATTTGAAATTTCGTAATATTAAAATATGATATGATATGAATGGGAATATATCGTGACAATTTTTCACACATAATTAATCCTCCTCAATCTAATCGGTTCAATTCATTTTAATTCAGTCTAATCCAACAACTCATTTCTAAACTAACTCTTTCTTCTGAACTGCCCATTAACAGTTATTTTTAGCTTCCTCTTTTTCATTGCTAAAGGTTAATTTGTCCAAGAATTAATTTTAATGAGAAATTTTTAGTTCCTTTAACAAAAAAAAAAAAAATGATTGACATTGTTAAAATTAAAATTAAAATTAATCATTTACTTTCGAAGGAATATCAATGAAACAGAATCAGTCAACGAAACAAAGAAAATGGAAAATGCTAAACCTCTTTAAGCAACCCTCTTACAACAATTCCATTCCTTCAATTCCATTATTATATTAAATTTTTATGCGTTTTTGTTAACAATGCAACTTCAACATTCATTCTATTACTAAACATTACTGCGCTGAATAAATTGATTAACTTTTTTGGATCATGCATAATTAATTCTTTGTTGATCCCTAACTCGTACAACAATTTATTCAACACAAATTTACTGAAGAATTTTTAAATTAACCATCCTTCTTCTAATATTTAATGTTTTGCATCTGTATTTCTGAAATGAATATCACAGGTTTTTTTCCCGATGCCAATATTCAAACTATTCGCTTGTTCTTAACATTAATTCATTTAATTCTGGTATCCCTTGGCAGTATTAATTTACTGGTTATTTTTATTATCTTAATTAAGCCATATATGCGATCTATTACCAATGTTTACATTATTAGCTTATGTTTAGCTGATTTCATGTATTTGGCTAATTTAACTTTGGTTGCTACTGCGCAGCTAAATGATAAATCATGGATTTTTGGACGATTTATGTGTACTCTCTACCATGGCACTGAAACAACAGGTAAATTTCCCTTTTGTTTTAAAATTTGTAATTTTATTAATCTCCTAAAACTGCAATTGCTCATATTTGCAGCTCACATTTTTTAACATTTATTACAAAAAGTAACAATTTCGCACTGTTACAAATACAAATTTAATTCTTTTGCAAAAAAATTTTACGCATATGTTAATTTTTCGTCCATTGTTACTGCGCAGCAAAATTATTTAAAGTGCAAATCACATTTTATAAAATATCATATAATTTATTACTGTTCATTCAAATTTATTTCCTGTAAATTGGATAAAGACCGATACTGATGAATTTAAAAATTTATGATTTTCAAACAATGATATTTCCACATGTGCAAATTATTAAATTACCATCAGCCGAGTTAGAGAAGTGCTAATTTCATGGTCAAGTTTTAATGTTTTCAATATACAAGTTAAATTATCTTATTTGTGATAAAGAATAAAATAGTCAAATTGAAAAAATTACCGAATTTTTTCATTCGATTTATAATTTTTTACTTAAGATTAAATCAATAAAGTATTAATCTCGAAAGCTTTTTTTTCCATCTACTTTCTTTCTTTTGAATTTTCCTAAGTAACTCTTAAAATTTTTAAAAAAAAAATTTAATTGCTAAATTTTATAAAGCTACGTCTCATTTCGCGAATTTGTTATGCACCAATTTAATCAAATCTTCCAACTTGCCGGTTTATTCAATCTTTTATCCGAGGTTTCCAGAACTGTTTTCTGTTTTGTTATTTCTACTAATCGCAATCTTTTTCTTTCCAAAATTTTCAAAAAAGTTAGGAAAAGATTTATCATAAAAATTTATGAGAATTAAATCAAAATTTTAGTATTTCACATTTTGGTATTTCATATTAAATTAAAGCAAAAGAAAAAATGCAATTTTTTAATGAGCAGTGCATTGAGAATTTTATTAACAATATGAATTTTAGCTGTTCAGTTTTTTTTTTTTGCTATTTAATTTCTTGTGTTAATGTTTGATGCATTTTTATTTTATCTCATTTTAACAGCGCTTATTTCAAAAATTCCATTTATTTACTTACTTCTATATCTGAAGCATTCATAAATATGGATTTTTTTTTTTCATTTTAACAAAACATTTAGTAATACAAAATGTAAATTTGGATAAATTTATTCTTTTTTAAATGTTTTTTAGGTAAATATGCAAGTGTGATATTCGTTGTATTATTAACTGCGGATCGTTATTGTGCTATATGTTGTACGGCGTTATGTGCACGATATCGGAACTATTGTATAGCAATCTCGCTAAGTGTTATTGCATGGATTCTCGCTTTTTCTGCAGCTATTCCGCTTTACCTTTATTCAGAAGTGGTTCAGCTACAAACATATGGTACTGGAGGGCCGAATAGGCCTGTCTGTATTGCTAAATGGCCTAGTTTAACAAGTGCTCGATGGTTTGCATGTTTAATACTTTGGAATAGATCATTTATAATGTTTTTTTGAAAGTTTCTAATTAATTTAAAATTTACCGAATATGCTGCATTTTTCTTTCATTCAAATTTAGTGTAAAATTTTAATGGGAAATGAAACTAAATTACATTAAGAAACGGAAACATTTCAGGTATATTACATTTTCATCAATTTTAATTTATGTTGCACCGTTAGCACTGATGACCTATTTCAATTATCATGTCCTGAAGAAGCTTCAAAAAGCTCTTCGTAACAGTAAACGAATGAGGCGTACGTCAAAATCACGCGCTCCTTATCATCGCGTAACACGTCTAGTGCTATGTGTAGTCATATTTCATGCTGCATGCTGGTAAGTATTTAATCATTCGAAATTTATTTAAAATCAATTTGTGATTGCTATAATGAATCCGATTTAGAAATACAATGATGACTTTCCGAGAAATATTTCATAATTCTTAATATCTCAAGTTTTTTTTGATTGGAACTCAAATCAGAAAATTTGAATGTATAAAATTTTTCATCTTACTTAAATTTTAGATAAGATGAAGAAGTGATTAAATTATCCACTCCTAGAATGTTCAAAAAATTGATTATCTTAATTATGCAATCATCGGAGAAGATTTAGCATAGTGTTGTTTTTTTTTTTTCGATTGACTCTCGTTAAATTTTGATATATGTTTATTGAAGGATTAAATTTTGATATATTTTTATTGAAGGATTAAATTTTGATATGTTTTTATTGAAGGATTTGTTAAATTTTGATATAATTTTATTGAAGGAATTTTGCCAATTTAACTGATTTCATATCATATTTCTATCTGAATTTATCCTCAGTTAACATTCATTCTTGTTAATTTCGCAACCTAAATTTGCATTTCTTTTATATCTAAAAAAAAGTAGATTTTCTTTTTTTTTTTTTTAAATTTTCTCTTTTTTTAAACGATTTCTATCATTCAAATAACTTATCAAAGAAGAGACATTTGGAGTAAAATTGAATGACGCTGAAAATATTCCATGACATTTAAAGAATTATTTTATTAATTACTAAATAACAGTACGATAAAATGAACTTTATTCCATTATAATGAATAAAAATATTATGATAAATTATGTTTTATGATAGTGAATAAATTTCAGGTCTCCATTTTGGTTATTTAATTTGCTCAGTTCTGTATTTCAATTTCGGATACATACACGTTTCAGTCGTCTTATTGTCAATGTTATTCATTTGTTTCCGTATATCAATTGTGCCCTAAATCCATTACTGTATGCAGTAAATGCTGAAAATTTTCGTAAAGCATTCCGTTCTCTCTTCACTTCCAATGCTACCAACCGTATATCGTTATCAACAACAAAGCATAGAATTTCGCAAGCTATTCTTCTTGAAAATTTCATCACTCAAATGTACGCTTGAAAAAATTTACATTTTGCCAAATATATTGCAAAAGTTGTTAGCATTTGATGTAATGTGTCATAACTCAATAATGTAATCATATATGAAATGGTTTTAATAAGTTAATTTTCCGTAGCATTTTCATATACGAAAAATTCTAATTTCAATTTTTCTCGTCAAAAGTTTATATTTTTTTTTTTTTTGCAAAATAAGAGGAAAAAAAATTCGATAGAAATGAATGAATTTGAAAAAAAAAAGCAAAAAAGATATTAGTCGATTTCATATTAAAATGATTAAAAGTAGCACAGATATGTTCATATATTTTTCTTTTTTTTTTTTTTAAATATTCTTTGAAGCATAAACTTTTTTCTAATGGCCTT